CTCTTGTTTCCCCCCTTCCAACTGCCCTTCTCTCCAACGGGGAGGTAAAAGAGCCATCTCCTTGATCAACCAAGTCCCAAACCTGCTGCGTGTCAGGTCGGTGTGTGGATGCTGGCTGCTCCCGTGCGGAGGACGAGGCAGCTCCCCTCCCACGTGCTCATGTCATAGGCGCCGTGCAGTCTCATCTAGCCTCTCTCATGACGCCTTCTGTCATGGATTCGGCCGCGCTCTTTAACCTATACACACATATTCCTGCTCCTTATCTTGCTCTTAGCTTACTTTATAGCTCCCTTGCTCTTTGTATCACGCCCCTATTCTACTGACCAGCCTTCTACCCTGGCTGTTCCCACCCCAGACACGGCAGAAAACCAACACAAACCCAAAATCACAAGCAGCACCTGCCATCACAGAATAAAGGCATTTTCCTTCCAAAATCTAGTTCCAAGTCAACGTGCAGCTTCCAGGTTAGTAGCGCCTGCCCTGGTAGAGGCAATTTTTCTGACGGCACACCTCTGCGATCCATTATAAACATTTAATTTCCAAGCTAAGCTGGACAGGGACCCATTTCTGTTCGAGTCCTGCTCAGGTGGATGACAGTACAGCATCTCGCACCCTTGCACAACCCCACGTCACTTCTCACTGCCACTGAGGAACATGATTTTGCTATTTGTATTCTGCAACATGAATGAAAACCTGTTGCCACCTTGATGGGAAACACCATCTCAGGCCCTGCAGACCAGGCATCAGGACTCCATCTCGGCACAAAATCAGACATTTAACGTTCAAGTCCTCCTGCTTGTCCCCCAAGGTCACCAACTATGCTTCATTCACATGTAAAAAGTATGATAAATGACCCAATTTCTGTGCTGGCTTTGTACAAATATTTAAAGACAAACCTAAGCTAGAAGGAAATATGATTTCCTACGGATTCCGAGCAAAATTCCAACTATTTTTCACGTGGACTTGTTTCGCAAACTCTCTTGCCTTTAATATGACCTTCACAAAAGCAGACAGGCAGTGTGGAAGAGGCTCCACGAATGCTCAAACCACTGCATTGTAACAGCTTTACCTCTCTGCAGACATTCCAACCCCATTGAATCATACCTGCGTTTGCTCCATTGCCAGCCATAGCTTGCAGAGTTATTTTTCTATTGCTTGATCTAGCTCTCTAACCACCTTTGCTCCCCAGAAAGTGTTTCGCGCAGGGTTGATAAGATGGCTATAAGGGAAGTGATCTCATGATTAGGTAAGACAGTTATCCCAGAGCCTGCTGGGAGATGTAGTTTTACAAAAGGACCAAACCTGAGCATATTAAGACGAGGTGATCTCGTGAAAGGAGCATCTCCGATCTCCTGTCTGTGCTAGCACTGGGTGAGTGAGATGCAGAACAAGACGGTCAGAGAGTATTTGTGTCCCAGAGGACAGTGCTGTTAGAATAGTCTCCCCTTCCCCAAGACACTGGATCCATATTTGCTTGCTGGCACTCCCAGTTTCTCCCAGTGCATCCTGCTGTTCTCCAGAAGACACACCTAACCTGGTTCTGCCTGGTGCACTGTGCGCAACTGCGCTCCTCCGCTGGCAGCATTCCTCAACCTTTGGTCCACGGACCCCAGAAGCGGCCCATGAAACAGAAGGAAACATTTTCCTACCAAACGAGCACGCAGATTCAAAAGGTCACTGTGCCAGCTGTGCAGAAAACAGCTCAGGGATTCTCCTAAAACCAGTTAGTTGATCCTCCGGTTAAGAGAGGTTGGGAAACACCACTTGAGCACATCACAGCACTGTGAGCACGCTGCGAGCCAAACGCACCCAGACTGAGTCACCGGTCCTCAAGTGTGGCTGGCAGGGACTGCCTGTGCAGCAGGTTTGCAGAAATCTGCTCTTTCCAGCCGGTTGTACTTTGGATACAGCCAGCAGAAATTCCCTTGTCTCATGGGACATAAATATCAGTACCAAAATGAAGATCTGCTTAATGGCTGCTGGCCTAAAGCTCATTTTTCTGCTTGCAATTTTGTGGAAGTGGCTGAAGGTCAGGCAGCAGCGAAGAGAGGTCCCGCAGCACATGGAGTAGGGGTGCAGACACGTAACAACCTGCATGGTCAGTCCAGCCAGTCACTTTACTTACCCTCCCCGTCCCCAAGGCACAGCCTTTAGAAGAAAAAAATACGCAGGCTCAAGTTCACAGCTAAGAACATCACCTCAACTACACATCAGCTGATTTAGGACAACCGAAATGCAGCTACTAACAGCGACTATAATTATTATTAACCTCATATGTTACCTGACTGTATTTTTACAAATACCAAAAAGCCTTTCTTCAATTCATCTTTGTATTACAGTAAAACTGTCTGTGCACAGACTCTGCCCAGCAGAAGCCAGCCGCACTCCATCAGGTATTTTGACTGTCATGAACTATTACTATGAGCACACAAAAAGCAATACAAGGCAGAAGAGCACCAAGATTAAGCTTAAAAAAAAAAAAAAAAAGCCAGGCAGCCAACAACAAACCCTTTAAAAAAGTCACAAGCCAAAGGGTTCCCTAAGAACTTCCCGTGGCACCGAGGTACAACCACTGAAATGGTGCGTTTCACATATTGATCTCTAGCTTTGTTGGTAAGAGACGGCAGAACAGGTAACAAGTTGGTCAATTTGTTAAAAAAATTACATTTTCTCTTAGAAAACAGAATATGTAATTCTTATGTTCTTATAGATGACATTTCTCACATTCTCAAAGGCATCTGTATAAGAACATCCACCTCAGGAAAGACAAGAAAAATCCTAGTGCTTACATCCTTCAGCATGTTTTGCAGCTCTTTTTGCAATTAGTATCTCTTTGAAGGTATTCCAACAAAGCTAGACACCCTTTTTTCATTCATATATATATATATGCACACACATATATATGAATTACAATTATGGAACCCTAAAATTGTATTCAGTTATTTTCTTTAGTTTGACACCAAAACAATTCAAAAATACAGACCAGAAGGTACAAATAAGACTATGCTGATTTCCCATGGAGGGGGGGGAAATTTGATCATGCCCCAATCAAAGCATGAGTTTTCCCATACTTTGGAAAATTAAAAACACATGGGAAAAGTAGCATTGGGATCAACCTTCACGAATTTTGTCAGGGTTTATTTTCTTCCGCTTGAGCGAGGAAGGAGGCCGTGCTGTAACAGCCTGGAGAACGCGTCTGCCTACGCCAGTGTAACGCTTCTGACCATGTCTAATTCTACATGGCTTTAGAGGTTTCTTCTAAAGACGAAGAGATGCAAGAACTACCATCGGGAGATACCTAACCATCCATGGGTGATGCCTTCTCCAAGCAAGCCCCAAGGCACGCACCCTTCACAAGGCAAGCCAACGTTTTCTCAGCAGCCACACAAACACCAAACATCATCAGATGCTCCTAAACTCTTCTCCCAAACTGCATCTTAAAACTACCGTCATTGTGCAAAAGTTTTATCAGCTGCATATTAAAGCACTCTTTTTCTTTCAAGAGCAAGGGTTATGACCCAACTCGACTTCTCCACAAGAACCTTTTCACACGACCTCGTCCCTCACTGAGTTCCCCTATGTTTTCAGGTGTCTCAAAATTTTTTTTTTAATTGATAGAGCAGTCATTCTCCATCTGTTCCCACTTTATTATCCGTTTCCTGACTTCTCCTGCCTTCTGAGGGAGGAGACGATCAAACCAAACACAGACACTTGGTTACAAAAAGTGACCTCACTGGGTATCATGACATTGTCATATTTTATACCCACCACCTCACTTAGATTTCATATATCCAGAGTACTGAGTGCAGTATATGAAATCAAAGATCAGAAGTACTTCTTAGATCACAGGAGAAGAGTACACCGACTTTCCCAGACACCTGCTCCCCATGACAGCTCATTAACACACCAAAAAACTCCACAGGCGCACTCCAAAGGAAGGCAAATTCAAACATGTGCTACAAAGCCACAAACAAGTTAAAATAATCCAGGAAGAAAAAAAAATTAATCATGGTTAAAATAATCCAGGAAGAAAAAAAAATTAATCATGAGAGTTGTCTGCAACACCATGACCTAACCTCCCATTCCGCACCAGGAAGCGCCTCGGAAACTTCTGAGATAGAAGAAATAGTGCATGTGCCCAAAAAAGCCCAATTCTTTCACCTCTGTCTGTTGATCTAGCACAAGCTACTGCTTCTCCTTCCAAAAACGAACCTTTCTCATATCTTTTACTCATCCCGTCTTTACAACCTCTAACTTAAACAGCCTCTTATTGCTAAGAAAAAGGTGAATTCTGCCTCAAAGCAAAGCCACTGGGAATACTGACCACAGTCCTGGGATAGCAGGCTGTTCAAGTAAGGGAAACTGATCCTCTTCAGCTCATCTAGCTTCTCCTTCAGCTTCCTGACTTGACTGTCAGAGCGACTGATCCTCTGCCTCAAAAGTTTCAACTCTCCGTTCTTCTTTTCTACCTGCTCCCGCAAGCAGCACACCTGACTTTTGCTCTGCCTGGAGGAGAAACAGTACGAGTGGAGGGAGTCGATGAGCTTGCAAGCTCCCGAGGCCGACATGATGACCTCGTTGATTGACATGGGGTTGGCATCTGTGTCACCCTTCTGCCCCTCCACAGCCTCAGCAGCAGGCTGAGGGGTGAGATCTGCTGGGGATGCTGACAAACCCTGGGAAGGTTTCTGAGGGGTCGCAGTGAGGGATGAAGTAGAGGAGCCTTCCGCTACAGCCTTGTCATGTCCCATAAGATGGCTGCTGCAGCTGGGTTCCACATCTCTCTTTGGCCTTTTCCTTTCTAGCTGCTCTTTTGGGAAAGATGGCCTCTCTCTGGCATGCTTGGAGGAAAAGCTGTAAGAATGAAGGGAACCGATGAACTTGCAAGCACCAGAGGCAGGAGGCGTGAAGTCGTCGACTGACACACCACTTCTGTCTGCTACCCAGCTCCCTGTCCAGGTGGCTTTAGGACAGTCCTCCACAGGAGATCTCTCAGATTTTTTCTGAGGTCCAGGCTTTGCGACCAAATTATCACCTAACGTCCTTCTCCGAGGGCTTTCCAGCTGGCTGTGGAGGTTCTCCTCCTCCTCGGACATCAATCCGATTTCTGCCTGCAAACTCGCCTCCTCCATCTCTTTCGTCCCTTGCATCACCATGAAGTCCTGGACAGAAGATGAGGTCCTCTGAACTACCTCACAGCCTCCTTCCCTTGGGTCTTCTCCATCCTGCAGTGGCACCTGGCTTGCTATTTTTCTTCTGCTTCTAACATAATCCAGGTTGTCGTGTTTTTTCTCCACAAGCTGGAAGATAGTAGGGACAGCAGTGGGCTTCAGCAACCGGTGCTGGTCTTCCAGCCGCTTAGAAAAACTGTCTTTGGTGAAATGCTCGCTGCAAAGAAATGAATACTTGGTGGGAGTCCAGTTGTCTCTCTGAACAGCCTTGAGCCACTGAATCAGACGCTTTGAATCCTTCAGAGGGAATCTAAAAAGCAAACAGACAAAAAAAAAATTAAAAAAAGTAAGTCGTATTGTGGAAATCAGAAGGGTCGGTGCTCTGAGGTTTAGGAAATTCTCGCAAAAAGCTGTATTTTAAGAGGTGACGCTTGTCTGGGGAATAGAAACGCTCGATATTGGTTCCCTCTGTGAACAGCTCCACAAACAGCACAGAACTACAGCCTTCCTTCCCTCCCTATCACCCACCGACCCGTCACCCCGCTGCTCATCTCCCCTCCGACCAACGCCGCAGCCCATCCGCAAGGGACGGGACGTGACCGACCCCGCGACACCCCCGGTGCAGCCCACACCTCGCCCACCCGCCACCCTCCTGCTGCTTCCCCCGGGGACATCCCCTCAGCTGGAAGAATACCTGGCCTGGAAAAAAGCCCCCGAGCAGCTGAACGAGGCACCGTTCCCAAAGCCGCACGGGGAGAACGCCCCTCCCGTGGGGACCCTCCCGGGCAGCATCCCCAGCCAGGCCCGGGGACAGGGACAGGGACAGGCCC